AACAAGACTGGCAGCAAAACGATAATGAGTTCAATGAGCTGCAAGTTTTCGATTTTAAAGACATCGGCGTTACGGATGAAGAAAATGCTGACGATTTTTGGACAACGGTTGTTGAGCTACGGAAAGGCGATTCTTGCATTACCGTATTCTTCCGCGGCGGCTGAACGAATATTTGTAACCCAAAACCTCAACAAGACTAAAACACGAAACAGATTATCAAACGAAACGCTGGTTGGAATATTAAGAACAAAGGATTGGCTGAAAACATTTGGAACATCTAGCTCAATTTCAATCCCAGTAGACATGCGAAGCAAGTTCAACTCTGCAATGTATGTCACTAAATCACAGACAAACGAAGAAGAGGAAGAAGATTCAGTGATGTTCTGCAAATTTTAAACAAAGTTTGATTTGTTATTGATTGATATGGCTAGTTATCCTAAAATCATTTTAAAACACCTAAGTGAAAAAAAATGATAAATTACACAAATATATCTCAAATAAACTGTCTGATTCACCAAGTATTTTTATATTTCTTAAATGAAGTAATGAAATTGGGTTGTTAGCGGAATGCTTTAAATAAAACAGCAAAAAAGGTTATCTTTCATTTAATTCCACTCAATTAATTTAAATATCCATGACATTTTTATACCTGTAATCTTGACATTTTTACCTAGGGGATGCGTACTTAAATGGAAATCACACTGATGAAGACTGCACATTGTAGTTGAAATACGTATCTGTCATGGATACCGAAATTAATAAAGTGGAATTAAATGGAAGATAACATTTTGCTGTTATATTTTTCTTAAAGAAAAGTATACATAGCACTTGTAAAATCAACTTTTGATGTTCAAAACAAGAAATCCGTAGATTTGAATAAGTCTACGGAATTGCATAGAAAAAAGATCTGGCATCTCTGTCTAGAACTCAGGCGAACAATTAACAGCGAACAATAAGAGGAAGGCCCTGCAAAGCTGCTCACTGTGCAGTAGCGAGTGTCACGTCTGGGACACACCACTAGTGTGATGCGCCATAGCGCAATCGGCCAACTCCCATGATGCAATGCTTTCGGGCGGTTCCGGGGAGGGCAAAATCCAAGAGCACAGGGTAAGGTTTAGTGGGTCAGGAGCGCTACTTCTCCCATCCCTACACCCTGAGTTATCTTCTCAGGTGTCTGGGAGCAGATTCCCCCATGTATAAAAAAAATAGGTAACTCTAAGACTAGAAGGTCCCGAAATAACGTGCTCAACTTTTTGGCTCAGCTCTGGTACTCTCTTCGGTCCCAAGCTAATCGAGTCACCCCTCGAATCATAGGAAAAACCAATAACCGCTCATTTTACCTGTCAAACTAGTACTACACTATGTTTGTTTTTACTCGCTATGAATGCGTGCATCGATTGGCTTGGGACTGAAGATAGTACGAAAGCTGGGCCAAAAAGTTGAGCACATTTCTTCGGGACCTTCTGGTCTTAGAGTTACCCCTATGGTATTACATTCCCTGACAATTCCATAACAATCGGTTGAGAGACTTATTTTTGGCGAGTACTTCTAAGTGATGCAATTTAACCATAGAGGTAACTCTAAGACCAGAAGGTCCCGAAGAAACGTGCTCAACTTTTTGGCTCAGCTCTGGTACTCTCTTCGGTCCCAAGCTAATCGATTCACCCCTCGAAACATAGGAAAAACCAATAACCCCTCATTTTATCTGTCAAACTTTCATAGCGAATCAAAACAAACATTGCGTAGTACTAGAATTTCGACTAGAATGGGGTACGTTAATCGTTTGCTTGGGACCAATAGGCTAGTCAAGTAGTGAGCCAAATTAAAATCGTTAGTTTCGTATTGATTGTTGATTTAACTGTGGACACCCTTTAGGAGAAAAAAGCAGCAGTGACAAAGACACACATTTCAGGGTAAGTTGTATATAAACTTGAATTAATTAAGTGCTTCACGAAAACTCAAAGTAAACAAAACATCGTACATGACCGTTCCTAGCGCGGGAAGCATCAATTTATGTAAAAACTAGACACCGACTTTTCATGAGAGAAGTCTATATGCTATTTTAATCTATCTGTCTCGCTTTATATAGAGTAGATTTTAAGTAACCAATTCATGTATAAAAGGTTTCGAAAAATAAAGAATCGAGGCAGTTGTTCTGATCAGTAATTTCACTCGAGGTTTGCCAGGTGCGGATCATCTAGAGAGAGCTGATTTCTTACTAAAACTTCGACCCTTACTTTTGATCTGCTGTGAAGAAAAGTCCGCTCTAGTGAAACGTGGATGCTCAACGATTGGGCACTTCACTGATACTTTACGGGTTAAAAGGAGATGGAAATATGACCAAGGTTGCAAAGACTCATTTCAGCTAAAACAATGTTTTTCTAAATTATGAAATAATTAGATGCCATGATCAAATTTTGAATTGGTAGGATACAAGAAGAGGTTGCAAAGAATGTGTTTGACATATTAAACCTGTTTATTTCACTTCATGAGAGTCACAATCAGCGATTTTTCACAAACTCACTCACTCACTCACTCACTCACTCAGCGATCAGCAAATCGCTGATTGTGACTCATAGAAAGCAAAATTTACAAGTTTTATGTTTCCAACGCATACTTTGTAACCTCTTCTTGTAAGTTACAAGTAAAACATGCCATCATACCATCTTTTGGTTTTATTATTCCGAAAAACATTTTTTTTTTTTTTATATTAATTTATTTGATAAGGCTCAACCGAATTAACTTTACAGAGCCGAGGATTCTTGGTCACTATACAATACATCTTAAAACTATAGTCAAAAGGTACAACACAATAAACACTTTATCTTCCGCTATCCAAAAAGCCTCCTCCATCAGAACTGGAGCCGCTTCCAGTGGTTTCATTGTATGGCAAATTGTTGTACGCCAACGAGGGTCAGAGCGCGTCCATTGCAGCAATGGACGCAAAACGTGGTCAGCACTCACACACTCATCACGAAACGGTTGCTTTCCAAAGTCGACGACGCATCGACCGAAAGAACTGCTGATGAAGAACAATGAGGAGGACCACACAATGGTTGCTGCCGAGAAAACAGACGATCGCGTAGCACACATCGAGAGTGGCCTGCTTTTGTCGACAGCCGAGTGAACCATTCCGAAAAACATTATTTTAGCTGAAATGAGTCTTTGCAACCTTGAATATGACATTCTGCATGCAGGACACCACTACAGACACCAGAGACGTTTAAAAATATGAAATACAATCGCCATTTGATAATTATTGGGCTAATTTAATTTCGGAATTTGAATCAGAACTAAATTATACAATCATCGTGCTTAATACTTTTCAGTAAAATCCTTGCTGCTACGATCATCACCGCCTAGTAGTGACAGAAAGTCATCTTTCGAACTACCTCATCCATGTCATGTTACGTAACCACAAAAAAACGCGCAAATAGTTTCATATTCGTCCAAAAACCTGCAAAGTCATCACCACTCGGCAACATTAAATAAATTTTCTCGCAGGCAGCTCTCAACATTATCGCATGGTTCGTTGGACCTGAACGGATACACCTAAAAACACCACCCGGACGGCGATGAGGCGAAGTTTCGAAAGTCATCAATCGTCATCTGTACATTAATATGATCCGTGTCCTGAGTGCGTGCATTCTTCCCGTCTGTATTATTGGTCGGTATTTTCGATCGTTGATCAATTTGTGGGTATTTCTTTAAGGTTTTCTTTTCTTCCAAACATCAGTTAGTGCGATTTATTCGGTGTCTACGACGACATGATAAAAATAGCTTCTTCTGCGCGCTTTTGAGACCGACCGCGATTCTCCAATAGGAGTTGAGTGTCAGGTTGTAAAACACAGCATGCTCTTTCAGTAAATACTTATAGTGAATCAGATTTTTAAGATTGGAAGAATGCTGAATGTTAAGCTTCTTGAGCGTGGTTATTCCTAATCCATTGCAAATTAAACTTGAGACAATCATCAAAGAAATTTAAGGTCGCATCGGTACCAGAACTATTCTTACAAGCAAACTTAGACAGATCAAAACAATAACATTCTCACGTCAGAAAGATTTCAAAATAGGTAAGAAGAAAAAATCTCATCTAATTTATCAACCGTTTTAAGCTATGGCAAGAATAAATATAATCAAAAATTAATTGTCCATCTCCTGTCTAACTGTGTCGCCATTGTTCGGTGTCCGCTTTCGGTTGACATGATGGCAGTGTACAGACATTTTGAACAATACCGCGCACGAGGTAAGTTACCAGCCTACAGAAAACCAAGACGCATTTTTTTAACTTGGCTTGATGCTGCCTCTGTGTGTGTAGGTGGCCGCTTTATTTTTGTATCATAGATAACCGGATTTAACACTTGTCAGTCGGAAAAAAAACAGTTCACAATGAACAACAATAAAATGCTAATAAGACTGAAAACATAAAGTATCAACATCCGCCTAAATTCTGATTGACAACTTCCGATAATCTTATCAGCTTATCTGTGATGGAAAACGTCTTAATTTCACTATTTGCCGCCATCCGCCGTAAACGGTTCGGAAATTTTCTCACAAGATTTGCATAATGTGACAGTTATCATCACATCACAGCCTGCTGCATATGCTGTCGCAGCTGAACGTTTTTTACTTCTTTTCACTCATTCCACCACCCACCAGCAGTGTGAGTGACTATAGCAATTACTACTAGCTTATAGAGCTATTAAATAATCGAAGTAAGTCACAGTGAGTACTAGATCGCCCGCATTACTTCTTTCTCGCAGAAGGTCAGACACGCTGTCGTAGATGTCTGTATCCAACATTCTTGGGACAAGTAGATTACTGACTGATGAATGAACAACATGGAGTGAATGAATCCACCCACTGCACCGCGGGCGCCTTGCAATGAACAACATCTATGTAGATACTACGGACGGAGCGGTTGTTGAATAAATACAACCGGCTCAACAGGTCCGCTTGCTGCGCTCAGCGGCAGTATCCTCAGTCGCACGGCATTCGCGGGATAGATCGGGTGGTTCTACACGATCGTCGTCGCCGTCCACATTCGAAACGCTCCAAGCCATGCGTGACACTTTCTCCGGCTGTGGTAGCGGAAAACGGTGCAATTCCGAGTGCAAGTGTTTGCGATCGTAAATATTAGCCCAGAAAGCTTTGTTTTGTAAACGGTTTATGGAGTATCTCGTTATAATTTATATCATATTGCGGGTGCCCGGCAAGGCCTTAAACGTTGTTAGTTGTGAACGAACGTGAGATAAAGCTGTAAGCCTTACTCAAACCGCGGAGATAAGTTCTTGGCATCGATAGCTAGCTACATAGATAGGTGAGTAATAGGTGTTCTACGATGTCTTTATTGACAATAATGCCAACCAATCAACGACGTCTGCTTACTATACTGCTCAAAAATGAGCATGATCATAGTTTCACAAGTGAATGGCAGTGACCATTGGATTAACGCAACACGATTTTATGGAATCGTTAGGGTAGAGAACAACTTCGGCCTAATCGCCCATTTTGGGCCTATCGAGCAGAAAACATCAAATAAATCCATGATTTTGGCGTTAGCAACCCTAGCAGCACACTTGTTACTGAACAGTGGTGGTTACTTGTTTGAAACTTATTCCTGTCACAATCAAGTTGCAGCAACTTATTTTGATGGAAGTGTGCTGCTTGGGTAGTTAATTATGCGTTTGGTACGATACTTTAGTTCAAAAGTGATGTAATTAGAACGCGTTTGCACCGATAATTCTCAAAATCAAAAGAAGTGCTCGGATCGAATCAAGCGTTAGGTTTTTATAGTAGTACATGGAGAATCAATACACAACTGTAGGAACCTAACGCTTCTAATGTACCGCAACTATAGGAGCGTTTCTCGTGACAAAATGTTAAAATATTGTTAAAATGTAACTCTGTTTCTTGACCCCGAACTCGGCCTAACGCATTGAAACGCCATTGAATTCACTTCGGCCTATCGGATCAAGATAACAATTGAATTCTGTTATTGATCTTCCGATTTTCGAGAAGGTGTTGGTCAAAATTGATTCCTGGTCTGTCAGAAATAAGTCTGATACAATTGAAGAATCAAAGTGACGATTGACTCACAGATGGCGAGTCGGTGAAAATGGTAATGACGTTTTAATATCTGTCAAATTGCATGACATTTTTTAAGTAGGGGAAATGGATGTAATGTCGGCCCTAATTTGGGCCCATAGATAAATTCAGCAATCGACTAAATTTTCAATAGATACCAAAAATATCCATTAGTACCGTCCCAATAATAAAATTGATAAATAGCGATGGGCCTAATCTTAGATTCATAGGCCAACATTGAAGCCATTTCCCCTACATCATCATTTTTGAAATTGCGGATCTTATAACAAGGTGTCGCATAACTTGTTTTGGCTTTGCTTTGATTAGCCAATAGCAGGTTTATTTGAAAATTTTCCATGCACCAAATGGAACACAGCCTTAGTAGGCCCAAAATTAAATCCAAGCCCTATGTCCAAAACACGTGTGCATGATCAGCTAAAATTTGCAGTCGATGTTCGACCGAATAATAAAAAACCGGTTTACCACATTGAATCAACACAGGCGGATCAACCGAACTACAGCAACGTTTGTGCAATCTTTAGCCGCGGATGCTCTCCACATGCTCCACACAACTCCGTTGCTCATTTATCGAGATGTTTGTTGTGTTCTCTTCATTCGCGTCATGCAACGCAGTAAAACGGCACCGGCAAGCAATCAACACATACCACGCGCGCAGCGGTCTTCACCGGGCACTGTAATATCTATTTATATGACGACGACGTTCACACTTCAATATTCCATGACAGCGAACCCGCCGAATTGCAATCATTCAGCTGCACGACATCCTAATTTGTTTGAATTTGGAAACAGGAAGAACTTTCTTGTTTAAATAAATTAGACGAATGAATCACTTCTTCGAGCTGATTTTGGATGTTCCCCCGAGAAGCGGGTTCAATGAAATGAGAGCAAAATTTGCAGTTCTCTTGGAGCAATTCCAAGAATGAGACTGTTGCCGGGAGTGAAGTATTCGATCACAGACAAACTCGTCGTACACGCATCTAACGTTTGATTTAAATATTATTAGTTGCGCGAATCTCCCACCACAGCGCTGGCATCGAATCACTTTGACGTTTCTTTACAATCTATCGAACTTGTTTGTAACATTGAGACTTGGCAAGCAAGATTTTTTGCGCGAATAGCTCGTGAGACGTCGTTAGTGACTTCCATGACGGAAAATTTATTTAAAGAGTATCGTCCGTGTGTCTGTGATTAGATGAATCGTGCAATACCAAACTGGGGGCTGTAAATTTAACTTCCAATACGATCGAGGAGCTTGCGGGTTGGAAATTTCCTTGATTTCGCACTTACTCTAATCCCTCCATTTATGTAGTGGGTGGTACCGTCCACCCACCGCTATCTCTCGGCTGTCCTTCAACCAATTACGCAGATTTTTTTGTATGTGATTAGTGTCAACCATAAATTCGTTTGCTATACAAATCCATTCGTTGTTATCTGCACCGAAATAGATTCGTACTTTTTACTTACTTTTACTACCTACACAGCAAAAAAATAATTTTGATCGCATCAAAGTGGATGCACTTCAATCGTGTCAAAATTATTGATAATTGATATTACGCTGCTTTTGCTGCATTTGTTTATTTTTGTGGACCTAAAAATTACAAGAGATTTTCAACAGTTCACATAAAGTTCCGACAGAACTTTCGAGTTCCATAAAGTTCAAATAAAGTTCCGACAGAACTTTCAAGTTCCATAAAGTTCAAATAAAGTTCCAACAGAACTTTCTTCACGAGCAACCAAAAGTTCCACATTCAACGATAAAACCCGCTTTCAAGTTTCATAAATTTTCGATGCGTACTCCTAGCAACTTGAAGTTCAAAAAAAGTTACAAAAAGCATCCCTAAGCACTTCTTAGGAACTTTAGGCAAGGCTTAAAACATGGCCACAACAAAGTTCCGAACAAGTTCCCAGCGGAACTTCTTTGCAACTTTAAAGTATCTTAAAAGTTCCCTGCGAAACTTCTTAGCAACTGGAAAGTTCCTAAAAAAGTTCCGTCATAGCCCACATGAAGCAATCCACACAAGTATTTATTAGTCTTTATTACGTGCTGCAAATATTTTAAACATTTTAAACTATTATGTACATTTGTTAATTGGGTGGGGGTTGTTAAAATTTTGATAAATGTTGTGGCACCCGCAGTATTACCATAGAGGTAACTCTAAGACACCTGGGTCCCGAAGAAAATCATTATTATTTCTGGCTCACTCAGTACCAGAACAACGGTCCCAAGCAGTCCCAAGCTATTTCACTCACCCCTGCATGTTCTGCATGAATCCACACACCCCTGATGTTATCTGTCAAACTTTCATAGCGAATCAAAACAAACATAGTGTAGTAATAGAATTTCAACTAGAATAGGGTACGTTAATCGTTTGCTTGGGACCAATAGGCTACTAAAGTGGTGAGCCAATTTAAAAACGTTGGTTTCGTATTGATTGTTGGTATTACTACCCTGGCTCGCGCTGGACCAGACGTTCAAGATGTGTTCAGCAGTCTCCCTGGCAGGCATACCAAAAGTACCGCCTCATGACAGTATTCCAACGGCTGTCGCTTTCTTTTCCCTACGACAGCCTTGAGATTGAGCTATAAGCGACAGCCCACAGTGAGGCTGTTATACGACATGCAACGTTGCCGTCTTGTGCAGTACACGACAGCTCGTTCTCAGTCATGTATTTTGTTCGTTCGGCTATCATTCGTAACGTTCCTCGTACATACAACAAGCAGTCCGTCGAACTGCCGATTCGTTGCTGCTGTCGTAAGACTGCTACTACACTACCAGTGTGGCGCCGGAGCTCGTTCGGTGTTGCTATCACGTTCGTGCTGCCCATTGCAAAATTTTCATCCGATATTTTTTTTTAAAAACGCGCGGTCTTCGGCGAAAAATATAAGCCTACCCGACACCAACCTGACTTCTACCAAACCCCAACCCGATGTTGGCCCGACATTGACCCGACATAAACGCAAAATTGACCCGACATCGACCCGACATTTGGCCAACGTCGACCATAAATTGACCTTAAATTGATCCGACATCGGGCCGACATATCTGTTCGGGATCATTCTTCTGGGTTTCTTCCATACTCCACTGCCGTATATCAATTGTATATAATGTCTCGTGACAGCCTTTTCGTGACAGCCACTTGGGTAAGCTGAGGGATGTCGTCGATTTGTGAAGGCTGTTATGACATTCACCCGTTGACCGCTGACTAGAGCGAACCACAAAACTGCCTACCAGTCAAGTGTAGTGAAGTTCTCTTCGGAAAACCGCGTGAAATTGGAAGCCATTTTTAAGTTTTTACGGTGTTTAAGTGGATTACAGTGATTTCATTTAAATAGATTGAGAAAGAACCTTTATTTGTTTTACTTTTATTAATTATCTAAGTGAAGAGAAAAAAAATCGGTGTATTTGTTTAGGTTATATTAAGTTTAGTTAGGTTAAGTGTACAGATAGTGGTAAGCGGTAATCTATGCTTGATTAACAAGCATGGATCTATCGGACAGTAACAGGCAGCCTGAGCCGCCAGATAAAGGTAAGGACATGGTTGAATATCCATTACCCCCTACATCGGATGAAGACATGGACAACGATGACGACTTCCGGGGCTTTCCGGAGGATGACATGATAGACCAGTCTCAACAGAACAAGAAAAGACGAGAAGAAAAAGACACAAAAGAAAGCGATAAGAAACGAACAAGATCAAACAAGTCTAAAAGCACACTAACACAAGCTACAGCTAACACTTTTACACTACAAACAAAATCATCATCAAACACACTAACACAACCATCGGTATCTCATGGAAGTAGGAAAATTCCTACATGATTCACAATTGGACCAATTCACGGAGCTCAAAAGAGCAGGACAATATCGATACAAAATGACCTACAAAAAACCACAGGATACAGAGAAAATTCTCAACGCGGCATCACTCCTGAAAAACAACAACTACAAGGCGTACATTCCGAAAATGCTAACCGAAACGACAGGTGTCATCAAAGACATTCCTCCATCGTTCACCGAAAGAGAAATTCGATTGAATGCAATCTGCAGTAAAAAAATCACAGGTGTTGAACGAATTAAGAGGAAAAAGGACAACGAACTGATCAACACAAGGACGGTTAAAATTACCGTAGAAGGCCCGGAACTACCGAGAGTGGTACAGATCTACGGAGTATACTGTAAACCGGAAATATACATCTACCCTGTGAGAATCT